ATGTATATTTTGACATCAAATAATAATAATAATAATAATTATTATTATCTAGTGTATAATGGTACCATGTAAGTAAGGTGTATCCAGTTTGAGTTCGTCAAGGGAACTCTGTCTTACATTTCCCACAGTATCACTCTACACTGTCTACTATCCTTTAAAAAAAAAGTCACTTATTTTTAAAAATTAACCAGATGTCACAGGTTAAAATGTGACTATCATTTTGTTTTTCAGAGTTATTAGTTCTGACCAAAATCTTTGCTATCGAGCTTCATGTTTTGGCAGGCCAATCGTAGAATTAGTGGACCCTCGAAAACAACCTCAGCAGCACACAACACAGTGACTGTTGTCTGAGAGATGCACAGACAGGTGACACATTAAAGGAAAAACCAATATAATGTCTTAGTAAGGTGTTGGGCCACCTCGTGCCCCATGCCTCATTTGATGATGATGGTGGAGATGCTGTCTAACACTTCATTTCCACAGGTGGTTAACTAGATTGAGATCTGGTGACTGTGAAGACCATAGTAGATGGTTCACATCATTTTCATATTCCTCAAACCTCCCGGTGACCTTGTGTCCTATGGATGGGAGCATAGTCAACTTCGAAAAGACCACTCATTTAGGACGTACTCACACTAGGCACGGTTGCCTCGCACCGTTCCCGAGCACGATTGTTCCCCTCCTCACTCCCCCACTGGCCTTCACTCACACTGCACTTAAAAAGATCTGGGCTGGAACATGCTCATGTTACCACAATGCAGCTGAAGAGAAGCACACAGAATAGCACACAGTGTTGCTGTTTCGTGCCCAAGCAGGGTTTGCGATCACACTATGCCTACCATGCTCAAGTCCAACTGAACTGCGCCCTGGCCCACCTCTTCCAAGCGGGCCAGAGCATGGTACGCTGAACTGTGCCAGGGCATGGCACAGAACGGTCACAGTAATCTAACAAACTGGATTTTGGGGTCAAACTTGCTTGGGCAAGGTACGAATTGTCTAGTGTGAAAAAAAACCTTATTCTGCTTTGTCCATTAATTTGTCACCCATCTATATTTGTTGTGCACAGTCATGCATGAGAAATATTACACTTTCAGTGTTACTTTGGATCATAGTTGAGTGCTTCTCTGTGACCAGCTGATGCAGCCTGCCTACATGAACAATAATTTAATGTAAAGTAAAACAAATAGGTAAAGTTTGCAGATCATGGATAAAGTGAAAAAAGCAGATACAGTAGATGAGTGTGTCGTATCTTTTCAGATCTGTGTATTGCGTATAAAGGCTATTTATATGAATTTTTTTTTAGCTGAAACAGAGACAAATCTGTCCCCTAGCCTAATAGGACTGTGCTTCTGGAGAGTCATGCAGACAAAATGTGCATGATATACTTTTATCTGACAGAATCTGTGGGTGAGATCCTGGTCAGAGTTAGTTCTTATGTGTAAAGATCAACACACAGGGACAGGTTGAAAATTGCTGCATCTCATTTAATCTCTTATTAAAAGCTTGTTTCCATTCTGTGCTTACGCTTAATTGTTACTTGCTTTATACTTGTTTGCTCTTTGTCTGACAGTGACCCCTCCAACACCACCTCCTAAGATAAAACCCAAGCCGCCGGTCAAGCCAGTCTGTTCCTGCTCTAATGAGGAAATTTCACAGGGTAAGTTGTTAAAGTTTTTTCTATTAAAGATAAATGTGCATATGCATGCAGTTGTGTGCACTCATTTGTGGCAGTGCATAATTTAAATGGTGTAGGTACATACTGCATTGCGTGATTGTTGCAGATGGCTGCGGCTCCCTGGTTCTGTGGCCGTTGGTTGGACTTATCACAGGCCTGGCTCTAGCTCTCGTCTGCACACTCTATTACTTCAGCCGTGAGTAGTCCTCTAGTTTAATAACCAAGTCAGGTAGGTAGGGAAAAGCACACCGTTTGCATAGATTTGTGCCCAGTGATGCAGCAAACTATGCTCATAAATGGTTGTCAAACTATTTGAACAGAGTTGAAATGTTTGAGTTTAAGGAACTTGTATTTCCAAAGGGTTTTGAACATGTTGTTTCTTACAGGTCTACCCAAAAAATGTCGCCACCACTTTGTGAAGTAAGTTGATTATTACAGAGTAATTTTTGTTATACAATAAAAAAAAAAGTTTTTGATTTTCTTACATTCCTTGTTTAATTTTGCTTCTGCAACTGTACTGAATGTATAGTACCTGACTAATGTCTTTTTTTGTTTTTCTCTGTAAAGGAGGAGGTAAATGACCTAAAGCATCACATCGCATCGCATGTTCAACTCAGAGTATGTGTCCTATGTATATTTATATACAAAACACTACTTGTATGTGAGATAATTAGCTACACATAGATTTATTTTCAAGGTTTAAGTAAAACTGCTACAGATGTGCTCAGGTTATGATGCTGTAAGGTCTTTCACATACACTAACACTTGATTCTGTGATTGCAGTGGCTGAAGTGTTTCACTAGAGCCAACGTCCAGCGGAGCATGAAGATCTACTCTGATAATAAAAACACGTCACGTTTGTTTCAGTAAAATATGTGCTCAGCCAGCGAAGAGCTTTAGCTTTCCTTAGCAGCAACATCTATATGACATATTGTGACATGGTGTGTGTGTTTTTGTTACATATTTTACAAAGCAAGTTGTTTTAACCCATGTGCTGTAACTTTTCATTTGTAATGTTTTTGATTTGTTAGTAATCATTGTACATATTACATCATAATTTATCAAGGTGCTTTTTCACTTCAATGGGTTTGTGATGTGTAGTTTCGGCTTTTTAAAATTTTTAGTATTAAATCAAGACCAGCTGGGCAGTACTTTTTCTCAAAATCAATATTGTGATAACATTTCTTTCTGTACCTTAACAGAGAAGTCTAATCTGTTGGTTTACATGCAAAAAGCAGGCAGAGCAGAAATATGTTTGCTCATTTGCTTTTTGATCTCTTCTCTATTTTTGCTCTTATTTTTTTGTCTTGTGTTCATACAGTGAGCAAAAACAGTACAGTCAAGTAGATTTTCTGTAAGCATAAGTCTGTTAGATCAATAAAACTGCATATTTCTAGTCATTTCCAGTGGTGAGGTGACTCTATTGTATATCTGTGAGGAATATATCTACAGACACATTTTCTTTTTCACAAAAGTGCCACAATAAGAGCCAAAAGGCAGTGTTAACCCACAGGTTATTGAGATTTTGGAGTTTGGTGCCAAAAGAAGTAGGTATAACAACAGGTATATTCTAGAGGTCAACTACTGTGTGCACATCCAGTGACAGCTATGAGTGGTGCAGATAACTAGTCCTATATTTTGAAATATTTGTAGTGCTGTGTCTTGCATCAAAAAGATTTCTATGTGTATGCGAGAGAAGAGAAAGAGAGGCTTGAAAGTGGGTGATGTACTTCCATTGTCAATATTGTGCTTGGCGGAAGTTGAGTAGGTGAGTTACAGAGTTTCTTTCTTCACTTATGATGTGTAAACTAGCATCACGTTCAGTTTCTGTTGAACTGCCTACAGTTTGTGGCAGAAAGTTTTATTGTTATAATCTCAAATTACTGAACACATGGTCAGTTTATAGTGTGTATCTCTCTGTCTCGGACAAACACACACACACACACACACAAGCAACACACATGCACACCTGTGTGACTGAGGAGTGTAAAGAAACGACTGAGTCGGTGGTTGTTCAGGTCTCAGGGAGTGTGCGGAACCCTTTCCTGTGTGCTAGAGAGAAGAGAGACAGAGCCGTGTTCACTGAGATGCTATCGCTTCGCTCAACTTTGAGCTCTTCATCTAGTCTCCGAAACAAAACGACCACAAAAATACCACAGACTCAACCACAAGCACTGGCAGAGACAGAGAGAAAGACAGAAAGAGCGTTACAGTTTTGAAATGAGAATAATGTTTGAGAAAAAAGAAAAAACTTAAGAAAACTAGAAAACTAAAACCTTGTTGCAGCATGTTTTACTGGGTATAATGCAATATGATACAGTTTTGTCACCGAATCCATTTAAATCCAGTGTAAATGTTTATTAACTATGCATATGCACTATGTATGTGTATGTATTTAGTTTTTAATTCATCTGTCGCTTTACTATGGTAGTAAATCACTAAGACGGTAAAGGCACACGCCTTATAAATTCTTGTGAACACCGGTGACGCAGGTTGAGTTAAATTAACAAAATGAAACAAATGTTGTGTAACGCTCTTCATTAAATCTGTTGCCTGTATTGCTTCACATGTAAAATAAAAGCAAAGTAGATCACAACTGCAGTACATTCTGTTGCCAGTTTAATACGAACAGCTTGCTATGTGGACAAAATTATAGGAAGACCTCTGAGTACAACACAATACAGTCCACCAGCGTCACAAAAGATGGTCTCCACAAAGACGGTAGAGCTGAATCAGCAACTCTCTCAAAGGGTTTTAAGAAAAACTAACATTATAATTGTTTTAAAGCCAGGACTGTTGTATATGACAACTTTAGTTTAAGCTAGTTGTACCTAATTATCTGACAACAGCATGCATGATATGTTATTAACATTTATCTCCTTCCAGCACATAGTTCTGATAAATAAATACAACACAATGATATGTAATTTTTTTAATTGTATGTTTACTGCAATTGTAACCAAAATAAAATTATCTGTTACAATTTTAAAGCTTCGATCAACACTGATGTAACTATTGTAACAAATATATGTACTAAAGTAACGTATCTTTGTTTTGAAAAGGTTAAAACATTCATCACCACTTCAGTTAAAGTTAGTTATAAATGGTATACCCTCAAATTATGTCTTATAACTTAATAACGTATGTCTCAGTTTCAGCTGAATGCAGTTTATCTCAGAGAAACAGGAAAAGAAACAGGAAAAAAAGACAATTGGCAGATGTTGAAACAAAACATAACCGTATGTAACTACAATGCAATGTAGGGTTTTGTTATTTTTACTTTCATTTTATCTTACCTCTGCCTCACAAAAAGACAAATCTCTTAAATGTAAATTCACATATAGGCTTATGTTTACATGGGAAGTCTGTGACTTCACATTGAAAAACATCAATATCTGTTTTTTCTGCACGAGCTAGTACATACATGTTGATGACTATATTGAAAATAGGTCATGTTAAGACATAAAGCATGCTCTATGTCATCGATCCATACAATACAAACATTTAATATTTAAACTCATTACATTTAAATTATGCAACAACAATACACACACCATAATAATAAGGCAGTCAAATAGTAAAAAATTCTGGTTTTAATTATGCAAATGTAAAACAGTGAAGCTGAAGCATACAAAAGCCTGAAGACAACGTATTAGGCACATGATACACAAAGAGTCGTATACTTCGAAGGGTCAGATTTGTTACACGTTATTGAATTTGATGATCAGTCACAAACCAAACAGGTGAGAGTTCACTAGATAAATACCCTGTAAACAGAATATTCAAAAACAGTGAATCATGTTGTCTTAATAAATTCACTTTTTGTACTTTAAACCTAATCCACGTGAACAATCCAAACAGGAGGTCTTAGTAACATAAGACCTGATGAGCGGACATGAACATGCGTACCGACATCCCTCCATTTCTACTTACTCCTCTTGCCTCTTGCTGCTCTTCGTTTCCTTTTCACAACTTCATATCCCATAATGCCTGAAACTGCCAGTAGAGCAGTGAAAGGTGACAGAACCAAACAGGTGAAGCACTGGTGGGTATGCAACTGGTATTGATGCTGACCTACTGGTTAAAGAGTATGCTGCTATTTTCAGAATGTAGAGGCATCTCTTCAGACTGCATTTGATTGCAAGGCTATGTGATGCTACTGTAAATGCTCCTTTCCTTCTCACTGGCTTCCCCTGGTCACCCACTACACACACACACACACACACATTTAGGTTTCAGGTTGGAGACCCCCTGTGTGACTAAGACAGGGAAGCCTGTGCAGGTGTGTTTGTGAGTCACTCAACCCTGAAACAGAAGTATGGAAAGGTGAAGTGGGCTAACTGAGAGCGTTTTGACTGGGTCTTCCCTCAATTACAAAGCGTCAACAGAATCCCCTGCTTGATGAAAATGACCCCAAACCTGAAACTAACAGTTTCCATCAGGTTTCATTTGCAATTATTGTAAAGTAATTTATGAAAAATAAAAACCATTGTACCATTTTGAGGACTAATGTACCAGGGTACAGAAAATGGTTAAAAGGTTAGTGAGACTCTTGATTGTCTTTCCTTCTCTGTATTTATTTCACCCTTTCTGATTATTACTGTCTATCTCCACCCACCCATGGAACAGATGAATCGCCCACAGAAGAGCAAAATGTCAGCACTCATTGCCCATTACCAAATCAGTACAGTTACTTTCCATCACTAAACAGGAAATAAGATGAGTTCTGAGTTGCGCCATAAATGCTGTAGCTCTCCTCTGTTGATCTGAAGGGTTTCACCTCCCTACATCTGTTAGACAAGCTTTCACATGAAGTGATAGGTGACATTACTTATGTCCTTGAAGTTATGTTTCTTTGACATCATCAGGGTTATCTGACAGGAAATCTATGTGAGGGCCATTTTGCAGCTTCACTTCTTGTAAAAAGGAAAATCATGAAGACACTGCTGCTGCGTTGCTCTTTGTGGGCTTAAACATCCGCCCCTTCTAGCCACACCATAACTGCTGATGTAGCAGCAGGTGTCAGAGGTCAAACCAGTTTAGAAGTTTAAAACATACATCTTTCACATTATAATCCACTACTATTTTTAATATTGTTCTTATTGCACTGTTTTCTGCACACAGCCAGCTTATAGCCAGTTTATGGGTCCCGGCTGCGACTGCAGAGAGAAACAGACAAGCAGAGGGACAAAAGTTACACAAATCATCGAAATTATTTCAAGATTCACACTGAGTAACATTCCATGCATCTCAATCCTGGATCGATGGATGTCACAAATGCTTTAAAATGTTTTTTATTTTTAAGACAGAGGTGGAGACGGGGGAAAGAGAGAGGCTGGAAAAACCTGCCATACACATCAGCTACAGCGCAGCCATGTACTGGTGCAAACACAAATAGTTC